AATAAATCTAAGTTTATATAGCCATATGTGACTAGTGGCTAAGGTATTGGACAGTTCAGCCCGAAAGATACCATTTAAAAAAGCTTCCTTGATCACACATTTCTATTGAACTACAATATCCCATTTTTTAATACCCTTTAAGACAAGCCTTGACAAAAGTTGCTGATACTACCTATTTTCATTCCCCTACCTCCTTTTCACCCTTTGGTTCATGTAACTTGACTTTTTTTCCAACTATTCCACTGAAGTAATTATTTGTAACAGCTGTTTAAATATGTTAAAGAATTGAAATAAAACATAAATAAAAACTAAAGACAACCTCTTAAAACTATGTCTGAACAAAATTCAAATATAAATAAATACATAGAAATAAAAAGGAACCAAACAAATTCTGGAATAGAAAAGTAGAATTAAAATTTAAAATTCACTAGGGGAGTTAAACAGCAGATGTGAGCAGGCAAAAGGCAGAATCAGATAACGATGATAGGAAAATTGAAAATATATAGTATGAGGAGCAGAAAGAGAAAATAATGAAGAAAAGTGAACAGAGCGTAAGGGACCTGTAGAACAACATCAAGAAGATTAATATATGCATTATGGAAGTCAGAGAAGGAAGAGAGAGAAAGGAGAAAAAGTATGATAAAAATAATGGCTAAACCTTTCTCACATTTGAGAAAACATATGACTCTACACATCCAAGAAGCTCAACTGACTAAAAGTAGGATTAGCAAAACTCTACCCACACCAAGGCACATTGTCATTAAATTGAAAAAAAAAAAAAAAAACAAAGCGAATCTTGAAAGATGCAAGACAAGATTTGTCACAGAAAAAAATTTTCAATAAGATTAATAGCCAATTTCTTCTCTGAGATCATGGAGGTTAAAAATAAGTCAACTGACATATTTAAATTGCTGAATGAAAAGAAATACCTGTCAATCAAGAATTCTATATTTGACAAAATGGTCCTTCAAAAATGAGAGGATAGGAGGGGCCAATATTGCAGAATATAAACAGCACATATTCTCCACTCTCACAGAGAGGAAACAAAAAAGTTAGTGAACACCGACCTTGCTGGCCAATGCAGCAGGGGGACAGAGATCAGAGAAGAGGGAAGCTGAGCATCAGCCTGTATGCACACAGCAAAGAGCCAGAAGAACCTGTCCAACAGGGGAAAGGGTAAATGAGAATCTTCTTGGAAATGCACCTACTCCACAGAAACTTATGGAAGACGAGGAACAGGAAAATCACACTGGCCCCCACGCACCACCCCACCATGCATCTAGACTGAGGCAGAGAGCCACCTGGATGTTTTATAGGGGAAACTTTTGACTCCAAGGGGAGCTCTGCAAGTCTTAGGCGACAGAACAGACCAGCCCTGACACCACAGCCCCAATAGAGACTAAAGTGATGGTGCCTAGAAGGAGAAAGATTGCTCTATTTCCCCTGATCAAACAGAGATCAGCACCAGCTTCTGGCACAGTGGTCTCACTTCTACCTAAACTCAGCCAACAGCTGTAGCCACCTGCTGTCTGAGAAAGCACCCAGATGGCGGGGAGCTTAAAGGATCCAAGATGGCCAAATAGGAACAGCTCTGGAGTGCATTTCCCAGTGAGAACAATGCAGAGGGTGAACAATCACTGCATTTCCAAGTGAGTTTTTACTGCCCACAGATGAGGAGATTCCCAGGCTGAAAACTGCCATGAGTTTCCAGCATGGCTGTTTCAGCCAGTGCCGTCGGTCTCCACACAAAAACTCACACAAATCTGGGTGGCCGTTTCAACTGCCACCTGGAATGCCTGGGATACAGAGCCACCCATTCAACTGAAAAAAAGGGGGCTGAAACAAGGAGCCAGGTGATCTGGCTCAGCAAGTCCTATCCCCACAAAGACCAGTAATCTGAAATGCTCTGAATTGAGAGTTTTGCAGCAAGCACAGCTGGACCCAGGACCATTCAGCTCGGTGGGGGGAAGGGCATCAACCATTACCAAGGCAGTCCACCAGTACTGAGGCAGTCCTCCATTACTGAGACAATCCACCTTTATTGAGGCAACATGCCATTGCTGAAGCAGTCCATCATTAGTAAGGCAGACCACCATTAACAAGGCAGTTCTAACTGTATCTCTATAATCAAAACCACAAGGAAGTTCAAACAGCAGCTGGGCAGAGCCCACAGCAGCTTAGCAACACGTCTGCTGGAAGACTATGACTAGACCACCTCCTTGCTGGGCAGGGCATCTCTGAAAAAAGGCAGCAGCAAATCAAGAACTTATAAATAAAGCCCCACCTTCTCAGGAGAGAGCACCTGGGAAAAAAGGCGGTTATGAGTTCTGCTGCAGCAGACTTAAATGTAACTGCCCAGCAGCTCTAAACAGAACAACAGAGCTCACAGCTCAGCACTTGAGCTCCTATAAGGGACAGACTGTCTCCTCAAGGAGCTCCTCAACCCCCGTGTATCCATAGAGACACCTCAAAAAGGAGAGCTCAGGTTGACATCTGGCGGGTACCCTTCTGGGACAAAAATAACAAAAGAAGAAACTAGTTGCAACCCTTACTGTTCCGCAGCTGCTGAAGGTGATCCCCAGGCAAGCAGGGTCTGGAGTGAACCTCCAACAGTCCTACAGCAGAGGGGCCTGACTGTTAGAAGGAAAACTAAAAAACAGAAAGTAATAGCCTCAACATCAACAAAAAGGATGTCCACTCAGAGACCCCATCCAAAAGTCACCAACTACAGAGACCACAGATAGATAAAGCCACAAAGATGGGAAGAAAGCAGCACAAAAAGGATGAAAACACCAAAAACCAGAACGGCTCTTCTCCTCCAAAGGATCACAACTCCTCAACAGCAAGGGAACAAAACTGGATGGAGAATGAGTCTGATGAATTGACAGAAACAGGCTTCAGAAGACGGGTAATAATAAATTTCTCTGAGCTAAAAGAACATGTGCTAATCCAATGCAAATAAACTAAGAACCTTGAAAAAAGGTTAGATGAAATGTTAACTAGAATAAACAGCTTAGAGAAGACTATAAATGACATGATGGAGCTGAAAAACACAACACGAGAACTTCACAAAGCATACATAAATTTCAATAGCCAAATTGACCAAGCAGAAGAAAGGATATCAGAGATTGAAGATCAACTCAATGAAATAAAATGAGAAGGCAAGATTAGAGAAAAAAGAGTGAAAAGAAATGAACAAAGCCTACAAGAATGATGAGATTATGTGAAAATACCTAGTTCACATTTGATAGGTGTATCTGAATGTGACAGAGAGAATGAATTCAAGCTGGAAAACACTCTTCAGGATATTATGCAGCAGAACTTCCCCAACCTAACAAGGCAGGCCAAAATTCAAGTCCAGGAAATATGGAGAACATCACAAAGATATTCCTCAAGAAGAGCAATCCCAAGGCACATAATCATCAGATTCGCCAGGGTGAAAGGAAGAAAAAAGTGCTAAGCGCAGCCAGAGAGAAAGGTTGGGTTACCCACAAAGGGAAGCTCATCAGACTTAGAGTCTTAGAGTGGATCTCTCTGCAGAAACCCTGCAAGTCAGAAAAGAGTGGGGCAAATATTCAACATCCTTAAAGAAAAGGACTTTCAACCTAGAATTTCATATCCAGCCAAACTAAGCTTCATAAGCAAAGGAGAAATAAAATCCTTTATGAGAAAGCAATTGCTGAGAGATTTTGTCATCACCAGGCCTGCCTTACAAGAGCTCCTGAAAGAAGCACTAAACATAGAAAGGAACAACCAGTAACAGCCATTAAAAAAAAAGTATGAAATGGTAAAGACCATCAACACAATGAGGAAACTGTGTCAACTAATGGGCAAAACAACAAGTTAGCATCAAAATGGCAGGATCAAATTCACACATAAACATATTAACCTTAAATATAAATGGGCTAAATGCCCCAATCAAAAGAGGGCAAATTGGATAAAAAGTCAAATCCCATTGATGTGTTGTATTCAGGAAACACATCTCATGTGCAAGAACACACACATAGGTTCAAAATAAAGGGATGGAGGAAGACTTACAAAGCAAATGGAGAGCAAAGAAAAGCAGGAGTTGCAATCTTAGTCTCTGATAAAATAGACTTTAAACCAACAAAGATCAAAAGACACAAAGAAGGACATTACATATGGTACAAGGATCAATGCAACAAGAAAAGCTAACTATCCTAAATACATACACAACCCATACAGGAGCACCCAGATACATAAAGCAAGTTCTTAACGACCTACAAAGAGATGCAGACTCCCACACAATAATAGTGGGAAACTAACACTCCACTGTCAATATTAGATCAACTAGACAGAAAATTAACAAGGATATTCAAGACTTGAACTCAGATCTGGACCTAGCAAACTTAATAGGCATCTACAGAATTCTCCACCCCAAATCCACAGAATATACATACTTCTCAGCACACATCTCACCTACTCTAAGATTGACCACAAAATTGGAAATCAATCAAATAAAAATAGTCTCTCAGACCACAATGCAATCAAATTAGAAGTCAGGATTAAGAAAATAACTTAGAACAGCACAACTTCATGGAAACTGAACAAGTGGCTCTTGAATGTCAACTGGATAAACAATGAAATGAAGGCAGAAATAAAGATGTTCTTTGAAATCAATGATAACTAATACACAATGTACCAGAATCTCTGGGACACCGGTGTCTAGAGGGATATTTATAGCAATAAATATTCATATGAGAATCAAGGAAAAACCTAAAATCCACACTCTGTCATCAAAATTGAAATAGCTAGAGGAACAAGATAAAAAATACTTAAAAGCTAGCAGAAGACAAGAAATAATTAAGATCAAAGCAGAACTGAAGGAGATAGAGACCAAAAAACCCTCCAAAAAATCAATAAATCCAGGAGGTAGTTTTTTGAAAAGGTCAACAAAATAGAAAGACTGCTAGCAAGACTAATAAAAAAGAAAAGAGAGAAGAATCAAATAGATGCAGTAAAAAACAATAAAGGGGATATCACCTCCGATTCCACAGAAATACAAACTACCATCAGAGGTTACTACAAACAACTCTACGCACATAAATCAGCAAACCTAGAAGAAACTGATAAATTCCTGGACACTTGTGCCCTCCCAAGCCTAACCCAGGAAGAAGTTCAAACCCTGAATTGACCAATAACAAGGGCTGAAGATGAGGCAGCAATTAATAGCCTACAAACAAACAAAAAGCCCAGGTCCAGATGGGTTCACAGCCGAATTCTACCAGACATTCAAAGAGGAGATGGTACCACTCCTTCTGAAAATATTCCAAATAATACAAAAAGAAGGAATTCTTCCCAAATCATTTTATGAGACCAACATCATCCAGATACCTAAACAAGGCAGAGGCTCAACAAAAAAAGAAAACTTCAGGCCAATCTCCATGATGAACATAGATGTAAAACTCTTCAATAAAATACTGGCAAACCAACTGCAGCAACACATCAAAAAGCTTATCCATCACGATCAAGTAGGCTTCATCCCAAGGATGCAAGGCTGGTTCAACATACGCAAGTCTATAAATGTAATCCACCACATAAAAAGAACCAAAGACAAAAATCACATGATTATCTCAACAGATGCAGAGAAGGCCTTTGACAAAAGTCAACAGCTCTTTATGCTAAAAACTCTCAATAAACTAGGAATTGATGGAAGGTATCTCAAAATAATAAGTTATTTATTACAAACCCACAGCCAATATAATACTGAATGGGCAAAAACTGGAAGCATTCCCTTTGAAATCTGGCACTAGACAAACATTCCCTCTCTCACCACTTCTATTCAATATAGGATTGGAAGTTTTAGCCAGAGCAATCAGGCAAGAAAAATAAATAATGGATATTCAATTAGGAAAGAAGGAAGTCAAATTGTCTCTATTTGCAGATGACATGTTTGTATATTTAGAAGACCCCATCTAATTTTTTTTCTAATTCTGTGAAGAATATCATTAGTAGTTTGAATGAAACAGCATTGAATCTACAAATTGCTTTGGGTGGTATGGCCATTTTAACAATAGTGATTTTTTTTCTAACAATGAACATGGAATCTTCTATTTGTTTACATCATCTCTGATTTCTTTGAGCAGTGTTTTGTAATTCTGTTGCAGACATCTTCCACCTCCCTGAATTGCTCTATTTCTAAGTATTTATTCTTTTTGTGGCTATTGTGAATGGAATCCCATTCTTGATTTGGCTCTCAGCTTGGATGCTACTGGTGTATAAAAATACTACTAATTTTTGTACATTGATTTTGTATCATGAAACTTTACTAAAGTTGTTTATCAGTTCTAGGAGTGTTGGGCAGAGACTACAGGATATTTTAGGTGTAGAATAATATCATCTATATGATAGCTTGACTTCTCTTCCAAAGTGAATGCCTTTTATTTTTTTCTCTTTCCTAGTTTCTCTAGCTAGGATTTCCAGTACTATGTTTAATAGGAGTAGTGAGAGTGGACATCCTTGTCTTGTTCTAATTCTCAAGGGGAATGCTTCCAGCTTTTGCTCATTCAGTATGCTGTTGAATATGGGTTTATTATACATGACTCTTGTTATTTTTAGGTATAGTCCTTCAAAGCCTAGTTGTTGAGGATTTTTAACATGAAGGGATAATAAATTTTATCAAAAAGCCTTTTCTGTATCTACTGAAATGATCATGTGGTTTTGGTTTTTAGTTCTCTTTATGTGGTGAATCACATTTATCAATTTGCAAATGTTGAATCAGCCTAACATACCAGAATTAAAGCCTACTTGATCATGGTGGATTAGCTTTTTGATGTGCTGCTGGATTCTATTTGCTAGGATTTTGTTGATTGCTTTTGTGTCTAAGTTCATCAGGCATATTGGTCTGAAGTTTTCTTTGTTGTGTTTCTGCCAGGTTTCAGTATAAAGAAGATTCTGGATGCACAGAATGAGTTAGAGAAGATTCCCTCCTTTCTGATGTTTTGGACTAGTTTGAGTAGAATTGGTACTAGCTCTTCTTTATATATCTCATAGACTTGGGCTGTAAACCTATCTGTTCCAGGGCTTTTGCTGTTTGGTAGTTTGTTTGTTTGTTGTTTTTAATTTCTAATTCAATTTCAGAACTCATTATTGGTCTGTTCTCACTTTTGATTTATATCTAATTCAATTTGGGAGATTGTATCTTTCTAGGAATTCACCCACTTCTTGTAGGTTTTCGAGTTTGTGTACACAGAGGTAATTGTAATATTCTCTGAGGGTTTTAACATTTTTTGTGAAGCCAGTGGTAATGTCCCCTTGGTCTTTTCTGTTTGCATTTATTTGAATCTTCTCTCATTTTTATCATTCTAGGTAGTAATCTATTCATTTTGTTCAACAGAATCACTTTTGCATTTTATTGATCTTTTCATGGCCTTACTAATCTCCATTTCATTCTTTTCAGCTCTGATTTTGGTTACTGCCTTCCTTCTGCTAGCTTTGTGGTTAGTTTGCTCTTGTTAATCTAGTTTTTCTTGGTGTGATATTTGGTTGTTACCTTGAGATCTTTCTTTTTGATGTGGGTATTTAGTGCTATAAACTGTCCTCTTAACATTGCCTTAGCTGTGTCTCAGAGATTATAGTATGTTGTACCTTTGCTTTCATTAGTTTCAAAGTATTTCTTGATTTCTGCCTTAATATCTTTGCTTACCCAAATGTCCTTCTGGAGCAAGTTGTTTAATTTTCATGTAATTGTATGGTTTGGAGAGATCTTCTTCGTATTGATTTCTGGTTTTATTGTGCTATGGCCCAAAAGTGTGGTTGGTAAAATTTTGGTTTTAATTTGTTGAGAATTGCTTTAAGACTGAGTGGGTGGTCGATCTTAGAATATGTGCCACGTGCAGATGAGAAGCATGAATATTCTATTGTTGTTGAGTAGAATGTTCTGTAGATTTCTGTTAGGTACATTTGGTTGAATGTCACGTTTATGTCACAAATATCTTTGTCAATATTATCTCTTGATAATCTGTCCAACACTGTCATTGTGGTGTTGAAGTCTCCCACTATTATTATTTGGTTATCTAAATCTCTTCATAGATCTCTAAGAAATTGTTTTCTGAATCTGGGTGCTCCAATGTTGAATGCATATATGTTTATGATAGTTATGTCTTTCTGTTGAATTGAACCCTTTATCATTATGTAGTACCCTTGTTTAGCCTTTTTGATTGTTGTTGGTTTAAAGCCTATTTTATCTTGAATAACAATAGCTACCTCTGCTCTTTGTTTTCTGTTTTCTTTATAGGTCTTCCTCCATCACTTTACTTTGATCCTATGGGTGTCACTGCATGTGAGTTGGGTCTCTTGAAGACAGCATAGAGTTGGATGTTTCTTCTTTATCCAACTTGGCACTGCATGCCTTTTAATTAGGGTGTTTAGCCCATTTTCATTCAAGGCCAATAATGATATGTGGAGATATGATCCTATTATCATGCTGTTAGCTGGTTGTTATTTAGACATGATCCTATAGTTGCTTAATAGTGTCCACAGACTATTAAGCTAAGTTTGCTTTTATTGTGGCTGGTAGTGGTTTTTCATTTCCATATTTAGCACTGCCTTAAGGACCTCCTGCAAGACAGGTGTGGTGGCAATAAATTCCCTTAACAAATGTTAAGTGTTCATCTAAAAAGATTTAGTTCTTTGCCTATGAAACTTAGTGTGGCTGGATATGAAATTCTTGTTTAGCATTTATTTTCTTTGAATACTTAATATAGGCCCACAATCTCTTCTGCCCAGTAGGGCTTCTGCTTAAAGGTCCATTGTTAGCCTGATGAGCTTCTCTTTGTAGGTGACCTGCTTCTTCTCTTTAGCTGCCTTTAATTTTTTTTTTTTTTTATAGTCTCACTCTGTCATCCAGGCTGGAGTGCAGTGGCATGATCTCAGCTCACTGCAACCTCCTTCTCCCAGGCTCAAGTAATTCTCATGTTTTAGCCTTTCAAGAAGCTGGGATTATAGGCATGTGCCACCACACCTGGCTCATTTTTGTATTTTTAGTAGAGATGGGGTTTCTCCACATTGGCCAGGTTTATCTCAAACTCCTGTCCTCAAGCAATCTGCCTGCCTTGGCCTCCCAAAATGCTAGGATTAAAGGTGTGATCCATTGTGCCTGGCCTAATAGTTTTTCTTTTATGTTGACCTTGCAGAATCTGATGACTGTATGTATTGGGGATGGTCATCCTGAAGTAGTTTACTTAACATGATTTGTAGTATAGTTCTGCAGGTAATGAGTCCTCATAATTTTTTTTTTTCCTGAAAATGTGTTGTGTTTTCTTTTTATTTTCAGTGTATAGAATTCTGAATAAACTATTTTCTTTAATCACTTAAAAGACTTTTGTAACATTATCTTCTGGCTTCTATGGTTTCTGATGAGAAATTTGTTATAATTTTTGTTTATTTCTGTATTTAGTTTGTTTTTCCTGTTTTTTTTTTTTTTTTTTTTTTTTTTTTAGATTTTCTGTATGTCTTTAGTTTTCAGTAGATTTTACATTGTATACCTAGGGGTGGGTGCATTTTTTAAAATAATTAGCCAGTTGTGGTTGAGTTTTCTGGAACTGTGGTTTAATATTGGTCAACAATTTTGGAGAATTATCATTTTATTTGAAATATTTCTTCTGTTACATATTGCTTTCCTTATCAAATTACAATTTCATTTATGTTAGGGAGTTTGATATTATCCCACAGATCCTGGATAATATATTTTATTTTCTTCCTTTCTTTGTCCTAGTGTTTCAGTTTGGATGAGATTTACTGACATATCTTTAAGGTCACTTGATTTTCTCAGCTGTGTCAAGTCTCCTGATAAAGCCAATATAGAGACTATACCTATTATTGTGTTTTTAATTTCTAGCACTTCCATTTTATTCTTTTAGTTTTCATCTCTCTAATGAAATTACCCATCCTATTTTGCATGTGGTGCACCTTTTCCATTACAGCCTTTAACATTTAAATCATAGTTATTTTTATTCCCTTTTATGTCGACAATTCCAACATCTACATCAATATCAGAATCTGGTTTCTTTGATTTATTTCTTTCTTGGGAGTATGGACTGTATTATTCTATTTATATGCCATTGTGAAGAAGATAAAGCTTAGGAACATAGAAAATAGTGGCAGTGTTTACCAAGGATGATGAAGGTGAGGGAAGGGCTTGACAACAAAGGAACAGCCTAAGGGATAATTTTGAGGTGACTGAATTTTTCTTTATCTTGATTGTTG